ATAACTAATTATTATGTAAGTATACTTTTTAAACTTTATAATAAGTAAGTGATAAATAATTTTAAACATATGAGAATAATTGAACTTAATAGAATTCTCTATTATTACTGTTATTAAAAACTAGAATGGAACTTGTGCAATCTTTAATATATGAAAGACTTTTTCCTACAAATTTTTACCTGTGATAAAAATCTGTAATTAAAGGGTGCTTCGTCACAAAACCATTATAAGAGTTTGTGGGTAATTCAAATCAGTGATAGATTACCAAGGATTCTCTGGATGATCCATTGGTATTTTCTAAAAAAATATTGGATTCTACCAAATCATTTGTATTCTCTGGGTGATTCGTCAGTAATCACCGACATAATTTTTTTTGGGTAAAAGTCATTTGTTTTGCAGTGAATACAGTGAGATACATCTCGATTTTAATGTGTTGTTTTATTGTCTTTATCGATGTTATAATACGATTTTAAATGGGTTTGAGAAAGCGATAATGCTTGTATTTTTAACCAAAAATATAAATTTGAGGATATCATAAAATTTGAAAAATATATATCGATATTAATATCAAATTAACTATTTAAAAATTATCATTTTTGTGTAATTTCTTTAGTTCAAATTTTTATCATAATTTAATTTAAGTTTCATAACAAAGTAATTTGTTTTTTGTTTAATAATATAATTTTTTATAAAGCTAATAATTAAGTATTCTGTTAGAATCATTGGTTATCCTAATTATTTTAGATTTTTTATATTTAAAATGAGTTGTTAATCCTGTATTTCTTTATGTTTATATGCATTTAGTTACATGAATTCAAACATAGAGCTTTAATTAGTTGTACTTACGCATAATCTACTTGTAATATTGAACTTTAAGTAATGTGGATCAATAAACAGTATTTTATGCATAAAAATGGTTTTTAAGAGTTTTTTGTCAAATATTCTATAATACTAGAAGGGTACTCACGCAATACAGCAAGATACATCTCGATTTTAATGTTCTACTTTATTCTCTGTCTTTGTTGATGTTATAATACGATTTTATGTGTTTTTAAGAAAGCAATAATGATTTTATTTTGGACTAAAATATAAATTTGAAAAAAAATATCAATGTTAATATCAAATCAACTATTTAAAAGTTTTCATTTTTTTTTATGTAATTTCTTTAATTAAAAAAAATTATTATAATTTAATTTAGGTTTAATAATAAAATAATTTATTTTTGGTTTAATAATATAACTTTTAAAAATATAATAATTAGGTATTTTGTTAGAACTCAATGATTATCCTAATTATAATATTAGATTTTTTATATTTAAAATTAGATGTTTATCTTGTATTTGATTACGTTTATCTGAAGTTAATTACACGAATTCAAACATAGAGTTTTAATAAGTAGTATTTACGCACAATTTACTTGTAATCTTGAATTTTAAGTAACATGCATCAATAAACAGTACTTCATACATAATAAATGGTTTTTAAGTGTTTTTTGTCAAATGCTTTATAATATAGTATAGATAGTCCGGTCAAAAATATAACAAACTACATCTTTATATTTAATCTAAAATATAATAAAATCTTAAATCAACAAATAATGCAAGAAAAAAAAAACAAGAGTTTTCTAATTTTTAATTTGACACTAATATTATTATTATTATTTTTTTTGGGTTTTTAACGGGTATTCAAATTCGAAAGACATGTTCAACAACCATATGTAATTTACAATTTATTTAAACAAAAAATTATATTTTTTTAAATATAAATTTATATTAAAACTTTATTCTCAATTATAAAATACCACTAACATTGGTACACATCTAGTTATATTTTTGGTAAATTACTCATTTGCGACATATGGTTTACCAATTAAAAATGAAACAGTTGCTTAAAAGGACCATGTGATTTACATTTTATAAATGCTTTAGATCCTTGTCTCTAACTCTATCTTTTCTAATTGAGTTAGAACACTACAATAAAATTGGGTTTATAGAACACCTCCAATCTCTAAGCATCCTAATAGACTATTTTATAAAACTTAATTTATAGGAACAAAATATAAAGTGTTTTGTTGTTGTAATAAGTTTATATGACGCTTTTGCGTGTCTTAACAAGTTTTTTAGGATATTTTTAGTACAAAGTGTTGCATTAGCAACTTTATACGACACTTTTAAGAAAGTGTCCTATAAACTCAATTTTTATAGGATATTTGTTTTTATAGGACAATTTTTCAAATAGTGTCTTATAAAATTGCTAATATGATGTTTTATATTAAAAATGTCCTAAAAACTTATTACGACGTCAGAAAACGTCATATAAACTTATTAAAACGCCTTTAGATAGAACGCTTTTTTTATACTATAAACTAAGTCTTATAAAAAGGTCTATTAAAAAGCTTAAAAATTGAGAATGTCCTATAAACCCAATTTTATTGTAGTAGAGTGATATACCAATGTTGTTATAAAACGTAAACCATAGAGCTCTTTTTGGGCAATCATTTTATTTTAAGAATGGACAATGTGATTTTGGATAAGTCAAAAGTCTTATATTTATTTAGGAGAGCCTAAATAGAAAAGACAAGCAAATTATAGATATGGTCCCCATAATTATATGAAAAATACGAATCGAGTCCCTTACATTTGTTTTTATAGATTGATTACATGTGGTTTCATTATTGTTCCGGATTGAATTCCTAGTACTAACTTTGTTAAAAGAATTATGCTAATTTAAAGGTATTTTGGTTATTTGCATTTTTATTTCAATTTCTCTTTTTTAATAATTACATATAGTTAATAAATAACACCCCACTATCCTACTGACCATCCCTTCGCTAACACAAACCCAATTTCATATGTTGATGATTCCTCAACCCATTTCTTCGACAATCTACATCTCCCTTGTCGATTTTTGGCCTTCCCTGGAGCTAAACTCCATAAACCCAAATTCTTAAACCATCTCCACTATTTTTCATTTGTACATGGAGCATTTGAATCAAATCATCTTTTATTGTTTGTTCGTTTCTGGTTTTTGTTTTAGTGATTAGGTTTGGATTTTGCGTTGAGTTTTGGTGATTAGAGTTTGTAGTAAGCTTTGAAATTGGGATTATTGGTGGGTCTGGCTCGTTGACAATGGATGTGATATTATATATTTCGTAGTTTCATTCTCATCTCCGATGGAACTATGTTATGCGTTTCATATTTCCATCAATCTAGGACTTGAGCATAGTTGGTGGTGGTTATGACTATGGGTTCGTGTTTCTTCAACGTGTATGATTATGTAGTTGTGTGTGTTGGGCAACAAAGGATGCGCATGGGTCTGATCGTATAAGGGAAAGGAGAGGAATGGGGTGGGTTATAGCATGTGGCGTAGATTAACTAGGTATTTTCTATTTAATGGCTAAAAAGTTTAAAACACCCATGGTTTAACGGATTGACTTTAACGATAGTTGATTAAATTAGGGACCCAATCTGTAATGATAATGAAACCGTAGATACCGAATCCATAGAAAAAGAAATCGAGGGACTCAATCTATAATTTTTATGTAAACCCATGGACTAAATCTGTAATTTACTTGAAAAGGTTCTAAATAAAAAGGCGGCAAGCCACGAGAGAGGGGGGGACTCAGAAAACCAGTTCGGATACGTAACGGTAACACGCCACGTGGTACCCCTCTTGCCCGCATACCCCTGTCAATATATCAACATCAATACTTCCCCAAACCCTCAAATTTCTCAGTTCTACGATTCTATTTGCCGATCGAATTCTACCTAATATATTTCACGGAATTATCTGGATCTTCCGTTTCTCCGATCACAAGGTATCATCTGAAATCAAATAATCTTTTATAGGGTTTGTGTTTGATTTTTATTTTGTGCTTTTGGTGTGATTCAGATGGTTTCTGATGCAAGCAAGAAGAAGGCGGCTCAGAAGAAGGCCGCAGCTGCCGCTAAGAGAGGAGGCAAGGCCGCTGCTGTTGCCGCGTCGAAGAAGGCGGCGGAAATTGGTAAGGTGAAAGGGAGTTCGAGTTCCGATAACTTGGCGAATGGGATGGGGTCTCTTGTGATCTCTGATCGGACATGTACTGGCGTTCTTTGTTCTCATCCTTTATCTCGGGATATTCGGGTAAGTATGATACTCCAAATTGGATCCTTATTTTGACAGTGAAAATTCTTGATTTTTTCATCAAAAAACTGATGCATCCGATTGATTAAATTTGTCCAAATGGAAGATAGACTTTTTTTTTTCTGTTGATAAAGTATAATACTTGGGCTTTTGAAATCAGCTGACAGGGAAAAACCTCTTTCACATCTATGTGAATAGATATATTTTCTAGCTCAATTAATTTGTCATGGCTATCACTTAGAAGCTGCATATTCAGTCATGTGTTTGAGTATTGGGTGAATTAGACCACTCTAGTATCTCATGGTTTACTGAAAAATTGGTTGGAGAAATTCAACAAATAGTGTTTAGTGTTGCTTTGGTTGTAGGTGGTTTCTAGAAAATATCCACTCTAGTTGATTATAGGCGTATGATTCATTCCGATGCCCTTGTATCATAGCCCATAGCCACTTCTAATCTATGTAGTGTGATTATTTTTTTTGCAAATGGGAATCAAGTTAGTTCATTTCACCCTGCCATATATGTTCAGAGCCTTAGAGGGGTAGTAGGTATAAACGTTGGAATGAGAAGTCTGCCTGTTGTCTATGGAAGGTTTTACTATTAGAATTTCATATAAGCCTGATTAGAAGGTGGACGTTTCATGTGTTCAAATTTCTGTGAGTAGAATACCTCAATGATGGTGTTTCCTGTTGGCTGCTACTCTTGCTTTTATGAATGGGAAATCTAGACTGAAGAGATACCTAATTTGATGACAAAATAACATGACATGATGTTAATTTGTAATTGGTAGTTGTGCTTATCTAATGTTTTGTTTGCCAAATGCCTAATGACCTCCTAGCCACCTAGTATCTCGATCAACATTGTATAATCTTTTATGTTCATCTTGCTTTATTCCTTAGAAAGATAATAGATTTTAATTGTAGCATGCATTGAACTTGAATGACATTAAATATCATCTCTGTTGATTAACCTAACACTCACTTTCTAAATAGAAATGGGAGGTTACTCGGAAATCATAAGTAGACCAGAAAATAAGCCCCAAAGATTTGAAGTCTCTAATGAAATGAATGACATGCCATTACAATATTCAGATATTTTTGGTAGTTACTAATTTACGAACGTGAAAGGAAAAAAACTAAACGCTTCTTCCTGAAATAATCCTAACAAATATTATTTGAATCGTCTGCTTGACATACTCTCTTTCGCTTTGCTTCCAAGACTGAAACCCCCTAGTTACCTGTCATGAAAAAGAAAACACGAGAGACAAATGCTCAACACGCAAAGGAAAATAATATGATAAAAGAACTTTGATGCAAATTGATTGTAGTCGGTAGCTTTCTTATTGAGTTTAGTAAAAGAAATGGAATTACAATTGATTACACGGCTTTCGAGAGGCCGGTTCTCTCCCAGAGAACTTGCGCCCTTTTTCAATCTCACAAATCAGAATGTCAACTCCACTAACAAACTTCCCAATATAAAGGAATTGTCTCTATTATTCTATTCAGAAAATACCAAACTACCCTCCACTTATTTACCACTAAACTACTTAGATCTTTTATATGTAAAGCGAACAGTAGGCTTATCAATACCTCCCCCCAAAGCTTTCACCTTGTCCTCAAGGTGATTATTAGGAAACTGTTGAGCCAAAGCTTCCAGATTCTCCTAAGTCGACTCGAAATCGGACAGCCCTTTCCACTTGACTAACACCTCCAAACTTCTTGCATCATTTGTTTCCACCCGTCTAACATCCAACAAGGCTTCCGGCTCTACTTGTAACACCATATCAGCAAATACTTGAGTTGGTATGTTCTTCGTAACCAAACAATTCCCAACAGCTTTTCTAAGTTGCGATACATGGAAGACAAAGTGTATCTTTACTCCCTCCGGTAACTCTAAACAATAAGCGACTTTTTCAATCTTCTCCAAGACTTTGTAAGGACCATAAAATCTTGCCATCAACTTTGGACTATTCCCATTCACAAGGGATTTTTGTCGATACTGTCTAAGCTTCAAAAATACCAAATCATTAACAACAAAATCTACCTCGGTTCTTTTCAAATCAGCTTCTTGTTTCATTCTACACTGCGCCTTCAAAAGATGCATTCGTACCTCATCCCAAATCTCATCTCGACTCATCAATTCCATGTCCACCGTTTGTACCACAGTTGAAGCATCTTTATAACGTAATAAAGGAGGAGGATCCCGTCCATACAACACCTTGAACGGAGAACATTTAAGAGCTGTATGATACGCCGTGTTGTATGACAGTTCTGCCCATGATAACCATTTGCTCCATTGGCGGGGTCTATCCGAAATCCAGCACCTCAAATATTGTTCCAGCCCTCTGTTCACCACTTTGGTTTGGCCATCCGTTTGTGGGTGATAAGCCGAACTGAATTTCAGAGTCGTCCTTTGCAATTTGAACAGTTCTTTCCAGAAGTTACTCTGGAATACTTTGTCACGGTCAGAAACGATTGAATTGGGTACCCAATGCAATCGGATCATCTACTTAGAAAATACCTCTGCTACCGATTGAGCCGTAAATGGATGCTTTAGACCCACGAAATGAGCGTATTTGTTGAATCTGTCTACCACCACCAAAATAGAATTCAAACCACCCGAAATTGGTAGTCCCTCAATGAAGTCCATCGAAATATCACTCCAAACCGTATCTGGAAGAGTCAACGGCTGTAGTAACCCCGCCGATGAACCACTTAAGACTTTGTTCCTCTGGCATGTTTTGCATTCTTTAACCATATTAAGTACGTCCTTTTTCATACCAATCCAGAATAACTCAGCTGCCATCCGTTGGTACGTTCTTTCTTCACCGTTATGTCCCCCGAGCGGTGACACATGGAATTCTTCAAACAACTTTGGAATGATCATCGACTTTCTGGGCACCACTAATCTACCATTAAAGAATAACAATTCTTGTCTTACTTCGAAACCTTTATGTCGGCTAACATCTTTCAACACTTCTTTTATTTTGACCAAAAAATCATCCGTTTCCAGCTCTTCTTTCAAACTTTCCCACTGTCTCCATGTTGGTACACTCAAATTAGGTAACTCTACCTCTTCATGCTTACGAGAGAGTGCATCAGCAGCTTTATTAGCACTCCCTTGCTTGTAAATGATCGAAAAATTATACCCCATTAGTTTACTCATCCAATTATGATATTCTGGTTCCACCACTCGTTGCTCTAACAAATATCGGAGACTCTGTTGATCTCTGCGAACCGTGAAATGCCTTCCAAGCAGATAGGGTCTCCACTTCTTCACAACCAACACTATGGCCATCAATTCTTTCTCATAAATCGACTTTTGCCTTGCTCTTGTGCCCAGAACTTGACTGTAATAAGCCACGGGCTGTTCATTCTGCATCAAAACAGCCCCCAACTTTGTCCCGGAAGCATCCGTCTCGACCACAAACTCGGCTGAAAAATCAGGCAGTTTCAATACCAGTGGTGAAGACAAGATTTTCTTCAATTTGTCAAAAGCCTCTTGTGCTTCCTCAGTCCAACCAAATTGGTTTTTTTAAGTAAATCCGTGAGGGGACTAGCTATAACTCCATATCCCTTCACAAATTTTCGATAGTATCCCGATAGCTCCAAAAAACCTCTCAATTCCGTCACGTTTCGAGGTACCTTCCACTCTAAAATCGTTTTGATTTTAGAATCATCTACCTCTACTTCTTTACTTGAGATCATATGACCCAAGTAACCCAGTCTTTCTTGACTAAATTCACACTAATTTTTATTGGCATATAATTTGTTTTAAGATAACAATTGGAACACTAATCTCAAATGGTCAATGTGTTCTTCCTCCGATCGACTATACACCAATATATTGTAAAAAAACACTAGCACGAACTTTCTTAAACAATTTTTAAAAACCTCGTTCATCAATCCTTGAAAAGTGGAAGGCGCATTTACAAGACCGAAAGGCATTACCTTAAACTCGTAATGATGGCCTTGATGTGTTCTAAAAGTTGTCTTTTGAATGTCTTCATCCTTCATACGAATCTGGTGATACCCCGATTTCACGTCGAGTTTGGAGAACACTTTAGCACCGTATAATTCATCTAGCAGCTCATCGATCACCGGTATCGGAAATTTATCTACCACCGTAGCCTTATTGAGATCCCTATAGTCGATGCAAAACCTCGAACTACCATCTTTTTTCTTGACTAACAGGACGAGACTTGAAAAAGGACCGTTGCTCGTCTGAATCACCTCCGCTTCCAACATTTCATTCACCAACTTTTCTATCTCATCTTTCTGGTAGTGTGGGTAACGATAAGGTCTCACGTTGACTGCATCTGTTCCCTCCTTCAACACAATTCCATGTTCCTTACCTCTCCTCGGTGGTAACCCTTTTGGCATATTGAATACTTGCTCAAACTCTTCGAGAACAGATGGTACCCTCGGCCCTACTTCCTGCACTTCATCATTCATCGCTGAATAGGCTCCCAACTCCACCAGAACAGCTTGTTCTTGTTGGATCAATTTCCCCCATTGCTTTTAATGAAATTAACGATTTCCCTAGAGCGGGACCACCTTTCAGCGCCACCGATTTACCTCCGATTGTGAACTTCATAACTTGCTGTTTCCAATTAGTGTACGTTGCTCTTAAAGTTTCCAGCCATTGAATCCCCAAGATCACATCACTGTTTCCCAATTGTATGGGCAAAAAGTCTTCTACCACCTCCAAACTTTGCACATTCAACACAACATGCTTACAAATCCCGTTACTCTTCACTTTGTTCCCCATTCCCATCGTTATAAAATACTTCTTCGTTTTGTCAATCTTCAGATTCAACTTATCTACTATATCTTTGGAAATGAAATTGTGAGTTGCTCCACTATCGATGAGGATTACCACTTTTTGACCTTCTATGCGTCCTTCCATTTTCATAGTTTTCGGATTCGTTAGGCCTACTACCGAATTAAGATGAACTAATACTTCTTTGCTCACCTCAATCACGTCAGCTGTATTTAGCACTT